CTATATAACATCTTAGACACATTCTAGACAGTTTATCAGCTAAAAAAAAGTTAATTTTGGGGTAAGTTACTCTTTAAGAGGATGGAAATAGAAGGGGTCTCTGCAGTCACAAAGTGGGAGGTTGCTCAGCAGTATTGTTTTTGACTGCCATTTTAATTTTAGTCTTAGTCTTTTGAACAAAAAAACTTGATAGGTTTGGTCAATTTTAGTTATTTCTATATTTAATGGTTTTAGTCAGTTTTAGTCTACGCAAACTTAAAAAAATTGTTTAGTTTTAGACGTAAAATAAAGACAACATATTAGTCTTTAGAAATTAACTTGAGTAATTTGTGTTAACATTTGTGAATTTGTGTAATTTGTGTTACTCTAAAAAATGCCCAAAAAAAAACATTCTACTTTGTGGCTTTATTTCTCAAAATTAGCTAAAGTGCAATGAACACACACACAATACACATGCCCAATATTATAAGCAATAAAGGGGAACACACATGTTCAACTTGAACTCGTCAGCCAGGTCGATGAAGATGCATCTTATTTATAAAAAYGGACATCATGCAGTCCTAAACTTAGTAGACTRTTAAACTTGTGCAAATGAGTGTTTACATGCACCAGGCTTTTATTCAGAACAGAAGCACTGACATGCGCAGTTGCTAACTCCCCCCGGCCAAAAAACAAAAAAAAACAGAGAAGATTTTTAATTTCGTCATGAACGTAAACAGCTTCTGAGCTCAGAATTGACATGCGACAGCTTTTAATGGTGGAGACGTTACTCCCTGGTTAAGCCACAGGTGACGGACGACTTTTATTTTTTTATTTTTTTGCGAAGCGGCGCAGGCTGTGAGAGAACGGGAGGAAATGTTCTGTGCTGCTGTGTGTGCGCGTGTGTAACAGCGCTGCTGTCCCTCCACTCTGCATTCTAAATGATTGACAGACCACCGACTAACATTTTCGTTCAGTCTCGTCTTGTCAACGAAACTCACACAGGTTTCTTCACGTCTTAGTCATCAAAGAGCTATGTTTATTTTGTTACCGTCTCGTTATCGTCATGAAAAAAGAGGGGCRTCAACGAAAATATTTCGTCATCGTTAACGAAAACAACACTGTTGCTCGGTGTGGGCGGAGTCTGGGAAAACCGTGATTGGTTAGATAGACTTGTGGGGGAAGTTAAAAGATTTACTTACAGAAAGTACTGACTGGCGTGCAGGCTTTTAGATGGGATTTAGGAGAGGGACATCTACAATTTAAGCCAGCAAAATGATGTGGGCGGGATTATAATATTAAACACAGAAGCAGCTGTGAGCTCATTGGCTCTCATCTTCTGGCTGTTTTTATTATAACGCCAGTCAATCCACCACACAGCTGCTTTCAAAATAAGAGCAGATTTGTGTGTGTGTGTGTTGGGGGAGGGGGGCTCACCTCTGCTCGAACAATGTCAATAAATCAATTTTCCCCATCTCAAACTCTCATAGCAGTGGTAGTAAAATCTATTTTGTGCGTTTTTACACTGCGCCACTTTTACATCAGTCAGCTGCTCAAAATTTAACAAATGTGGCCCTTTTCATTAGAATTTGTTAGCTTTGCTCCTTCATCACAAATCCTTTGCCCTTTTCTAAACTAACAGCATTTTGACTGCGGCCTGCTGCAGGTAAAACACTGAYTACATGTAAGTTTTCTCACAAAACCATATTTAAGGAGGAAAAAAAAAACACCTGTTTTAAAATTTAACACAAGTAAATTGTTATTCCTTAAGTATAATTTTATATCAATCATCTGACAGAGTTTTTGTAACATTCCAGATGAAAAGCAGTTTGATGTTGCTGTAAAGGAGGAACCGCCTGAGGCAGAGGAGCAGCAGGAGGGCAGTCCAGAGCAGAGTATGGAGACAAAAGCTGAAGATGCTGATGACGACCACGAGAAACTGGAGAGGGAAAAACGAAAAGAAGAGAAAGTAYGTTCAGAGTTTTACGAAGTGTTTGGTAACTTTTCGCTGTTGTTCGCATGTAACAATAATGGAAGAGAACCGGTGAGGTTTTACGTAAAATAAACTTGTTCCCCTGTGTGTTTTTATTATTAGGCTCAAGAGAAAAAAGTGAAGCTGGAGGAGAAGCGAAGGAAGCTGGCAGCTTCTGCCGCTCTGCTGGAAGGCAGGAACGCCGATGGGTCAGATTAGCTCCTTCATTCACATTTCTCTCTCTTTCTCTGCACCTTTCTGCTTTCATCAGCATCAGCCTCCTTCAGTCTCCGGCTCGGCTTTCATCAATTCCCAATTAAACCATGCAGTAAACAAAGGCAATTAAAATAGATTTCCAGAGAAAAGAAATAAGAATGATTAAAGCCTTTTGCTAACTATAATCGTCATAAACCAAGATTCGCCTTCCTCTGGCCTCACACAAAGTGGTTAGCGTGCAGCGCTCCTACAAGATGAACAAATTGATTGCTTTGCAGTTTCTTCTCATGATATGAAGAACCCACTGGTAATAGTTTTTTATGATTGATAGATGGGCTGACAGGAAGGTGCCTGAACTACAAGTAGCTTGTAGATTTCTCCTCTAAATCCTAAAAGCTATCAAATAAACAGAAAACTACTGAACAGGATTTCCCACGTTGTCCTAAATCAGCCTCCTGTCCTGCTTCTCATCCAGTTGGATAAAATATTGATCGGGTCTCGGTTACAGAGGGGCAGTAAGTCTTCTAGGGCTGTACACTCAGCTCTGATCCGTTAAATTACATTACTGCCTACCTGTACATTTCCACTTATAAAATGTACTATTGACTGCTTTTTTTATGTTGGACAGGTTTGCTTGATCATCTTTTTGTTTGCCCACCTGCAGGCTGGTCATAGCAAGTCGATTCCACCCCTGTCCCGTCCTTTTGGGCCTGATTAAGTTTCTGTCCCCCTCTCGGCCTTTTGTAGTTTATTCACAGTACAAAGAGGTAAGAGAATTATTATTTGGGATTATTTTACGGAAGTCTTAAAGCTGCCTTGTTGCTATTTGGACTTATGTTTATTATGTTTTTAAATGGTTACTCTACTACTGTGAATTTGATGACTGTTTTTTTGTTGTTGATGACTGTTTTTTAAAGTACTTCTTTGTTTTCCACTTTTTTCTACGTTACTGCAGCCTCTTATTGAATGCTACACTAAACTTAAAGAACAAGGCGGCACAGTGAACCTCAGACTCACCGACACTTGGCTCAGGCATTACCAGGTAAACACCGACAGTCCCAACCACTCAGGTGATGGAAAACGCTACAAGGGTCCACAATTTTATTTATTTATTTATTTCTTGTATATAAAGGATCAAAATATGTAACCCTTAATTTACACTAGCTTCGGTACGTCGACCGCAGCAAAATACGCAACCATTGAGAGTATTTACGCTGGCTCCGGAGCCAATCTACTAATATCACGTTGCACCAACAGCTCTGTTGTCCTCCATCCATATTTTCAGTTACAGGCTGAGTCATTTCTACCTTCTCCTCTCTGTCAACVCTCTCTGGTTTCATTTAAAAGAGTCGATCATCAGATATTGTCTAAGATTAACCTTCAGGGTGGATATAGCTCGCTAGCAGCCTCGCACTGAGGACCTACTCGATGTCATCGTTTACCCAGAATGCTTTGAGTGTAAATAAAATGGCTCCTTTTGTGTTACAATGTATTTTTGAAAGATTTACAAAACTAAACAGCCTACAGTATTTTTGCAGACTATATTTTGCAGTTAAAACATATGTTAATGTGTTAATTCAATAAAGTCTAATGTTACAAGTAATCATGGATCCCTTTAAATGAAACCAGAGAGCGTTGACAGAGAGAAGATAGAAATGACTCAGCCTGTAACTGAAAATATGGATGGAGGACAACAGAGCTGCTTCATGGAAGAAGAACTTTAGGCTGTGTCTCAATTCATGGGCTGATGAAATTTATGCTGCAATAAGATGTTAAATAAAAAAATTGCAACTACAAGTTACGAGAATAAAGTCATAATATTACAACRTTAAAGTCGTATAAAAATGAAGTCATAATATTATTAGAATGAATTCATAACATTACAAGATTAAAGTCATACAATTATGTGACTAAAATCGTAACATGAGAAAAAAGTCATAATATTCTAGCCTTTACACGAAAAAGCATGCCGTTATCACAGCATTAAAATGAGGAATGTTTGCTTAAAAATAAATAGTTAATCTTTTAGCACATTCGCATCAAATTATCAGTAGCAGGACTTGGAAATTGTGCAAATGACTATATGATAAACTAAAGCCGTATTGTAATTAATGGCTGCATTGACAGATTTAGTCGTCACGTAGCTAATTTGGATGAAAGCATATTAATCTAACAGTGATCCAAGTCATCATGGACTATTTTATAAACACAGACACATGGCTGTACACAGAAGGTGTGGGAAAGATGAGGAGGAAATGAGTAAAAATTATATCAGGAATGGAAAAGGAACATGTCATGTAAGATTCTGACTTTTTCTCGTAATATTATGAGTTTATTTTCATAAAATTACGACTTTTATCTCGTAATATTACGACTTTATTCTCATAATATCATGACTTTTTGTAATAAAAATAAAAAAAGATGTGTGGCTCTAATACTCTGTCCTAGATACTGGAGCTAAACCCAAATTATTATTGTTTTTTTTTTTTTTTTACATGTAACATTTTAACTGTGAAAGTATTCTTCCATTAAAAAAGACATGTAAATACAAGTCCCAACGTATTTTAAGTCTGATATGAAACTGACCACTATGGTAACACGGTAGCACGTGGTCACGCAAACTCACGTGAAGCCGACGTCAGCTGAAGGGTAGACCGTCTCACTTCACAGCAGTTTTGAGCAGCCTACCCGGCCCAGGGAGGATGTGGCCCTTTGGCATTTGTTTATTTTTTGCTAATACTATGTAACCATACATATTTTTACATATATGTATTAGCTCGGCTATGTGCGCTATAGACCCCTTTGATATAGCCTAAACTTGTCCTTAATGTCTTATTTTGCTTACATTACTTTTACTTTTATTCTTCAAGCAGTTTTAAAACCATAACTTTTACACTTTTACTTTAGTAAAAAGCTTGACTTGATACTTKACTTCTACATAAGTATTTTTAAACCTTGTAKCTATACTTCTACCTGAGTAATGCATGTGAATATGTGTGACACTTCTGTAAGTTTGACAAAGACCCTGTCCACATTAAACTGAACATTTTTTATACTGGTGCTTTTCTCTCTGTGTWTTTTTCAGTAGTGACATATCAAGAGCAAGCTCAGTTTGGCTAAATGCAAAGTTGTTTTGTCATTACTAAAACATGTGCATTTCTCATTCACACAGATGAACTCTGTTGATCCACTAGTTCTTTAGGCAGAAGGAATAAATGTTTTTTTGTGTTTTAGTGTTAAGAAAGAAGCAGCTGGAAAAAACAAATGTATTTTGCACACACCTCCAAACCATCAAAGCAGAGTTAACATCTCCTGACGAGCTATCTCTGTCATGTCGCCAGGTTTTGCCTAACAGGACTCATCCTCTGCTGCTGATGAGCGGGGGCGGGGGCTACCTCCTCTCAGGGACAACAGTCGCCACRGACCACTCCAAACCAACTGTCTCCCCACCAGACGATGGACCGGCTCCGAAAAGACCAAAACTGAAAAACTCGGAGGGATAAAAGGGTCAGACCTGTCAGGAGGTTTCTGCTCCTGGCCTTATCTCTGTGGAACTGACTTATGGAGTTAGGGCAGACTTAGTTTTGCATCCATCAGAGCACGTTTCTCTGTGTTTTTGTGCACTTGCAGATTAGGGCTTGATATAAAATAAGTTAACTAAGCTCTGTWTTTCTTATATCAGGGACTGAAGACRATTTTTACTTTTAAGAAACTAACATGTTTTATTTTTTTAATGGTTYATCCGTCAGTGTCTGCAAGCAATTAGAATCCATATTTAAAGATCATGTGATGTGTCACTTCTACTTTAGCAAATAATAAAAACTTTCATTTGGTCCCAGAATAACTTCTTTTATTAGTTTGCAAACAGATCAAACTCCTATGAACACGTTTAAATCATTTATCTTGGATTTATTTTTTCTTCTTTATTTTTTTAAACATTTTTCAGACAATACACATAAACATCCATTTCATTCCCATGCTGATGAATTTATCATAACGTCACAAAAAAACGGCCAACAAAGCTTGATAAAATGGCATGGTTTCAGAGKTTTTACGTCATTTTGTCACTTGAGACACTAAGAACACTAAGTCGGCAGACAAACGGTAAAATGGAGACTTAATAGCTGATGGTCTTAAAATGCTGCAGGRTTATGCAGTCCTGTCATGCAACTTGGCTGCAATTTTCTGCAGCTCCGTGTCCATCGCTGCCAGGTTTTCCAGCTTYTTCTCCTGAAGGAATAAAAAAAACAGTATTTATGTATAAGCAAACAGAAAATCTTACAACTATTTTTTGTCATAAGACCTAAACAATAGTTTATTTTTTCTGTTTCTGTCCTAAAACGTGCCCAAACACTTCATGTCTTTGAGTTTTGCTGCAGCGTGTCTAGACGAGACCTCTAACGAGTTGCTCGCTTGGATTACATATTTCCTTATTATCCTTGAAGTTGCAGTTGCTGGGGAACTAATGAATATTTTTTCCTGCTCTAATGTATGTGACTAGATAAAGAAAACCTCTGCAGGCTAGAGTCCTTGTTTTTTTATGGGCATATTAGGGCTGATTGCTCTCGGAGGCTACAATCATTAGGTTCTCAGTGTGATTACTGCAGCAGTCAAACTACTGAAGTGGAGATATCAAACGGAGACAAAGGGAACTACTGTCAACAAAACAATAAGTGCAATTATCAGTTCCCTTTGTATTCACAGACGCACGTTCTCTGAGTTTTATGACATATCCAACTAAACTGGAGATTTCATTAATGAGCATGTGTTTAATCAGTGATGCTTAGTGGGCTGTTTGTACACCCAGCTTGATTTACCTCCTGTGGAGTGAGCGCTCTCGAGTGTAAAGTCTCCTCCGGAGCGGAGTGGTTAGTCAACTGGTTAATCTTGTAGCTCAGCAGCTTGGCCAGTTCATCCATCTGAAACCAATTAAAGATGAAATTTAAAGCATTATTTTAGACATGTTATCCCCCCGAGGCGCTTAGGTTAATACGCATTTATTTTAAAGGGGTAGGTATTGTGTATTTTCCAGACTCATAGTTCAATTCTGTGACACAATCAAGTAACTATGTTACCTTCATTTGTTATGAAAATGCTGTATATATCAAAAATAAATATCTATCTGTAATCTATCTAAATGCCTTGAAATAGGCCTCTGTCTCTTTAAGAGCTTCCAACACTCCCACTTCACATCTTCACAACTTCATGGGCAATCATGGCAATCATGTTTCTTGAGCGCACCTATCCTGCATGTTGTCAGGGTTTCTCTGYTCCAACACACCTGACTTGAATGAGGGGGTTATAACCAAGCTTAGGCAGAACTTGAGAAGGGATTTCTACCACTGAATCAGGTGTGTTGAATCAGAGGAACAAGTAAAACATGCATGATGGCGGCCCTCGAGGACCAGGACTACCCACCCCCAGTTTAGGCAGTTTCAACAGGAGATCCAAGGATTTCTCAAACATGCATAAAAGAGCCACAGCAACACTCTGGGTATGTTTTAGATGAGTGAATCACATAACATGATATAGAGCTCAAAAAAGTTGAACTTGCACAATAACTACCCTCCCTCACTTTAAAGACTTAAGTCTGAAAAAGCAACAATAAGTAGTTTTTATTTAGTATAACGGAGCTAAAAGGCTCAGTGATCTGGCCTACCTTGTTTGGTGTTGCAGCAGGTTCCTCTGAGTCCCTTTTATACCAGGAAGGATGGTAAAAGCCTCTGTAAATCCACGGATTGCGCTTCTCAGCCAGATACCTGAAAAATAGTTTAATAGGATGCTGCTCAATGTTTGATCATTTAAGAAAATGATGTTTTCTTTAACAGTGTCAATGCGTTTTACTGAATGAGKCACTAAAGTTTTATAAAACAGTTACCTCAGAGCTTCATCGCTGTCTTTTGCCTCCTCTGCATGCTCCTCTGAATCCCCTCTCTCCTCCTCTTCTTCTGATAAACCTCCCTCTCCTCTCTTGTGAAGCTTCAGTTTATGGTGGTATCTGTGTGTCGGTTTCCATATCCGCTTCTCGATCTCTTCTTCTTTTCCGTGTCTTTTGGTAATGCCCCAGTCCTCCTGACTGCGTTCCTCCTCTGGCTCCTCTCTGGCTTCCTGGGAAAGCTCTTCATCGCGTTTGTGTTTCCTCTGGTAATGTCTGCCAGGTCTCCAGTTTCGTTTCTCCACTCCGGTATCGAAATCCCAGTATTCCTGGCTGCGTTCTTCATCAGGATCTTCTGAAAGCTCTTCGTCACGTTTGTGTTTCCTTTGGTAATGTCTGCCAGGCCTCCAGTTCCGTTTCTCCATTCCTGTATCAAAATCCCAGTATTCCTGGCTACGTACTTCATCGGGATCTTCTGAAAGCTCTTCGTCACGTTTGTGTTTCCTCTGGTAGTGCCTGCCAGGCCTCCAGTTTCGTTTCTCCACTCCGGTATCGAAATCCCAGTATTCCTGGCTGCGTTCTTCATCAGGATCTTCCCAGGCTTCTTCTGGGAGGTTCTCGTCTCGTTTGTGTCTTCTTTGGTGGTACCTTCCAGGCTTCCAGTTTTTCTTCTCTTTCCCAGGTTCAACGTCCCAATATTCCTGGCTGCGTTCTTCATCGAGATCTTCTGAAAGCTCTTCGTCACGTTTGTGTTTCCTTTGGTAGTGCCTGCCAGGTCTCCAGTTCCGTTTCTCCATCCCAGTATCAAAATCCCAGTATTCCTGGCTGCGTTCTTCATCAGGATTTTCCATGGCTTCCTCTGGAAGCTCCTCGTTGCGTTTGTGTCTTCTCTGGTGGAACCTGCCAGGCTTCCAGTTCCTCTTGTCAAGATCCCAAGATTCCTGGCTACGGTCTTCATATCCATCTCCCTCTGAAGGTTCATCGCTGCGTTTGTGGAGCCCTTTCTTGTGATGATAGCGATGTGTGGGTTTCCATATGCGCTTTTCTCTCTCCTCGTCCTCTTCCCCATGCTTTTTGTCCACATCCCAGGACTCTTGGCTGTGTTCTTCCTCTGGCTCCTCCTCTTCTCCCTCGTCTCGTTTGTGTTTTCTTTGGTAGTACCTTCCAGGCCTCCAGCCCCTCTTCTCTCTCTCTTCACTTTCCTCATCCACCTCCTCTACTTCGTCTTCCTTCAACCTCTTGTCCATCCCTCCCCAGCTCTCCTGACTTCGCTCGTATTCTTCCTCTTCCTCTCCCCGTTTGCTTTTCCTCTGGTGGAACCTCCCAGGCCTCCATCCGCTCCTTTTCTCCCGCTGTTCTCCTCCTTCACTCATCACCATCTTATCACCCAGACTCCAGGGTTCTTGGCCGTGCTCGCCTTCAGGCTGTTCCCTTTTTTCTTCCACAGATTTCAAGAGTGCTTCGATGTCTTTCACGTCTGCTGGTTCCTGAGCATGACCTTCCAGGACCTCCTCCTGAGCTACAGCCCCCTCACTGTTTTTCTTCTCCATTGGGGCGTGACTGATCCCTAAAACAAAAAAGAGTCTGAAGTTTAGAACAAATCTGAGAAGACTTTTGGTGATAAGGTATTACAGATTTACAGATGTAGTATACATCCACTTATTTCAGCTTTAATATTAGTTACAGCTTTGAATAACTTCTTTTTCCAGGGTGGAAAGACTGAACTTTATATAGCTTCAGTAATTAACAAAAAAAAGTGTGGGAAAGTTTAACTCGAAGATTACGATCAGTCCTAGAAATTTGCAGATGCCCACAAACATCTTTTGGAAATGGTCAGACAAGACAATAACTGAGCTTTGTGGCTGCAGTGATGAACTATAGAGGAATCAAAATTAAGCTTTCAAACACTACAAACTGTCGAGCATGGTGGTGGTAGCATCATGCTGTGGTACTGGTGGATTGCACCAAGTGGTTGAAATAATGAACCTCCAAATTTTTTAAAACTTTAGTCAAATTAGCAGCAAGACAGTTGAAACCGGTGTCCAAACAAGACAACAATCCAAAACACATAAGAATTGGTTTCTGATTGGATAAATCAGGCTAACATTTAGCTTCTGGGTCAGCCTTCCCAAAGCCCCAACCTAACCTTTATTGAAAATTTATGGACTCAATGCCAAAAACCCAACTAATTAACATGAACTCTACAACTTCTGCCAAAAAAAAGTGGCCAAATACCCAGAAGCTTGTTGATGGCTACAAAATTTGTACAGTCAAGGTTCAATTTGCAACAGGACATTTACCCAAATATTGGTTGTAGGTGCACATATATATTTGAGCCTGTATGGATTAGAAGAAGTCCACAATAAGTTCCAAATCGTGCACCCAATTTCTGTTTTTAAAAATCACTGGAGCTCTATGTTGTCAAAAATGCCTCTTTGAGGAATGTTTTCCCCACAAAAAATTAATAAATCACTAAAATATTCAAATTACGGGCAACAAGTCATATTTAGCGTATTGTTCAGTCATATTTAATTTAGATTGGAAATCTTCAAACTGCATTTCATTTTAATCTGGCATCTCCTCTGCAGTTTTTAGAGTGCTGCATCATCAAAAATCTACTTCAAAGATGCCTTCTTTCCCGACTGTTTTCTTCTCAGACCATGAAAGGTTTAAGACAAAATAAAAGCCTTATCTGGTTAATCTTGGCAGCTTGATTTTGTGACAGACCTGCTCGAATAATGTCTTTGCACTCCTGGTGCAGCTGAGTGTCCGGTTTGGAGAGAGCTTTGGACAATACTTCCACCAAACACCGTGTTACCTGCAGAAAGTGCACAAGAAGGCAGCTCTTTTAGCTCAAAACATTTGATTCGTTCAAACAGAAATAAGAACAAGCATACCACATCTTCTTTCTGCTCTTCTTTGCCCACTGGAATGGCAAGGCTTTCTGCGCATGAAAAGCGAAGAATAAAAGAAAACATCCTGAGA